TCGGGAGCTACACGAATGGATGAAACAATATTTGCTGTCGAGGAATTAAGTGTGACAGTCTAGCCAGAAGCCGAAAAAGACAAACGTACCCGTGAAATCACGGAGACAACAACAAGACGAATGAACGGGTCGTTTGAAACAGGGTTGTTATGGAAGTATGACCATTTTTCCTTCCCGAACAGCTACCCCATGGCAGTACGACGAATAAGGGCGTTAAATACGCGGTTAAGCAGAGATCCAGTACTCGAGGCTAAAGTGAAGGAGACAATTGCACAGTAATGAAGCGAAAAGATAGGCACACCGAAATTCGGCTGATATGGGATGCAAAAGCAGGAGTAGGAGGAGTGTCGTTCAACGACATGTTGATGAAAGGGTCAGATCTATTAGTTGCACTGTTGTCAGTACTACCATAGAGGTGACTCTAAGACCAGAAGGTTCCGAAGAAACGTGCTCAACTTTTTGGCTCAGCTCTGGTACTATCTTTGGTCCTAAGCTAATCAATTCACCCCTTGAAACATAGGAAAATCCACGAACCCCTCATTTTGTCTGTCAAACTTTCATAGCGAATCAAAACAAATATAGTGAAGTACTAGAATTTCGACTGGAATGGGGTACGTTAATCGATTTGCTTGGGACCAATAGGCTAATCAAGTAGTGAGTCAATTTAAAATCGTTAGTTTCCACCGGTTGGTACTACTACGCTTCAGGCAAAGGAATATTGCGGTGGTTGATTGGCTACTTGGATAAACAATCGCAGAGGTTCACTTTTTAGCTATTTCTAGAATCTCCCCCTCAAATCTACGTGATGCACGTGGCCACATTCGGCGCAACTTGTTCGCCAAGTATGGCTCAGTTCATTAAGAACAAAAACGCAGCCGAGTTCGCCGGAAGCTTTCCCAGGGTGGCGAAGGCAATAATAGAAAATCACTACGTGGATGATTTCCAGGACAGCGGGATTCGAGATTCGAAACTTTTGCTCTAGTTCCGCTGATGTTCTGGCTGAGATCGGAGAACAAAAAGCGCCAGTGATGGTATCCATGAATCTGAAAAAAATCCTTGGAAACGGAGCGAGTGTTCGGGATGGTATGGAAGCCGACGGAAGACATCTTCACGTTTGACCTGAGCACCATGAAGGACGAGGTCAGAGAGCTGATTGAAAGATCAGCTACACCAATCAAACGACAAGTCCTTACGAGATGACTATCTATGTACTTATTGATGTTTTGTTTTAGTACTTTTCATGTTTAGTTTAATTTACATCATTGGGGCAAATAACGCCTGTTGATGTTCAGTCATATACATAAGTCCTGAAGACCATAATGTCGTTATTCGATCCGTTAGGGTTGATTTCTCATTTCGTTGTACACGGAAAAATTCTCATGCAGTTGATCTGGTGATCCGGAACGGACTGGGATGAATTCATATCAGAATAACTTCGAGAAAAGTGGGATTGTTGGTGTCGATACATGCAGCGTCTGGATGAGGTGGCTGTACCTCGTTGTTTCTTCAAAGGGGTACCTAGCTCTGCTCTTCGCGATATTGAGTCCCATCTGTTCGTGGATGCAATCGCTTGGCATGTGCAGCAGTACTATACTTCCGATTTGTTGACAATGGCGAAACCCGATGCACGCTGCTAGCGGCGAAAACGAAAGTCGCACCGTTAAAGCCTTTATCCGTACCTTGTCTTGAGCTAAAAGCTGCAATGATTGGAACGAGATTGTTGGATAGCGTTGTGACAGCTCTGGATATTCCTGTAACGAATCGATGCCTCTGGTCTGATTCGTCTACCGTACTCTCCTGGTTGAGATTTGATTGCCGACGATACCACCAGTTTGTAGCGTTTCGAGTTGGGGAGATTCTTACATCTACCAGCGTGGATGAGTGGCGCCAAGTGCCTTCCAAACTGAACGTTGTCGACGTTGCCACGAAATGGAAAGACGGAGCAAGCTTCGATCCGACGAACACTTGGCATAATCCACCGGAATTCCTGTATAAGCAGTGACCAAAGGAACCGTCGAAGAAGCACGTGGAGACCGATATCGAATTACGAGCTTAATTCCTGTTTCATGGAGTAACGCCTCAACCGTTGCTTGCCGTATCCAGATTCTCAAACTGGAATCGACTCCTGAGGACAGCAGCTTACGTTCTACGGGCAGTTCGTAGGTGGAAGGGAAAAAAGGGGTCCAAACCGGATCTCTTGACGCAGAAGGAGCTGTGTGATGCAGAAAATCTGCTATGGCGGCAAGTACAAGCTGAAGTGTATCCAGACGAGTACGCAATTCTGCAGTGTAACCAGGCAAATCCAAGCAATTCAGTATCAATTCCGAAGTTAAGTCCAATATACCGGCTGTCACCCTTTGTGGATGAGGCCGGCGTCATTCGAATGAACAGTAGGCTCACCGCAGCACGAACTGTATCGACAGAGACGAAGTACCCAATCCTGTTGTCGAAGAAACGCCTTGCAATCCTTCTCCTCGTGGAGGTGTACCATCAGAGGTTCGTACACGGAAATGGAGAAACGGTGTGCAACGAGATACGTCAACGTTTCTGCATACCAGGTCTACGAGTCTTGGTTCAAAAAGTGTCTAGGAGGTGTCTGCTCTGCCGCATTAGGAAGGCTGCTCCACAGCCTCCTATGATGACACTCTTACCGGAAGCTAGAGTGAATGGATTTGTAAGACCATTCACGCACACTGGGGTGGACTATTTTGAACCGTTGATGGTCAAACAAGGGCGCAGTTTGGTAAAGAGATGGGTTGCACTATTCACCTGCCTCACGGTGCGTGGCGTACATTTGGAGATTGCACACACCTTGTCCACCCAGTCGTGTATGATGGCGATTCGGCGCTTTGTGGCTCGTCGTGGTTCTCCGTACAGTGGTACAGTGACAACGGGACGAATTTCCTGGAAGCAAGTAACCTACTGGCAAAGCAGATCCAAGACATCCACGAGAATTGCGCCCTAACGTTAACGAATTTCCAAACCAGATGGTATTTCAACCCACCTTCTGCGCCTCACATGGGTGGATCGTGGGAGCGTATGGTGCGCTCCGTGAAGACGGCCATGGTAGTGATTACCGATCACCCACATCATCCCAGCGACGAGGTGCTGGGGACGGTAGTCTTAGAAGCAGAAGCTATCATCTTTTTTTCTTTTTCTTTTTCTTTATTAAAGAGACTTTCAGCCTTGGGCTGGTTCGTCTCTGCGGAAGAAGCTATCATCAATTACAGGCCACTTACCTACATCCCGCTGGATTTCCCCGAGCCAGAATCGTTAACACCAAACCACTTTCTGCTCTTCGGCACAAAGGGCGTCGTGCAACCTGAGATGGCGATCCATACTAGTGGAAGTACCCTACGGGATAGCTGGCGTCTCGCGCAGACCTTGGTGAATCATTTCTGGACCCGGTGGGTTCGGGAGTACCTTCCAACGATAACTAGGCGCACCAAGTGGTTTGAGCCAACGAAACCACTCGAACCTGGAGACTTGGTACTCGTCGTCGAGGAAGGAAAACGGAATGGGTGGCTGAGAGGTCAAGTCGTTGACGTGACCAAAGCCGCTGACGGACAAGTGTGGCGTGCAGTAGTGTACACGAAGAACGGGCTAATCACGCGACCAGCTGTGAAGCTAGCTCTCCTGGACCTTCAGGTATCGGGATTCTCTGGAACTTCACGGGCGGGGGAATGTAACGGAACCACAGGGCAGTCTCGTTTGGTAGCTGGGTGAGTTGCGTATCACCCAAGACCTGTCAGCGAAAACGTCAGGGAGAGTACAACGGGTGACGTGGCTCTCAAACGTCACAGGCAGCATACAAATCGTTTAACACAGAAGAAACACAAATGTGGAAAAACGAATAAACACAAGGAAAATTAAAGTTAAATTATATTATATTATAATCAGGCTAATCAGATAAATTTACGATCCAGTAAAAGCAAAGTGACTAGGTAAATTATTGTTTATCTTACTTTCTATAAAAAAAATACTTATCCTAAATTTGATATACGTGGCAATTACTTCAGCTTTGCACTGGGTGACGTTTTGCCTAAAATTAGAAACTTAATAGTAAGTACATACGAAATAATGTGAATTTAAAATGCAAAACTATCTATTTAAACTATTATCACAGCTTGTTACTAGTACGGAATTAAATAATTTCCAAATTCGGAAGATAGTTTCGGGTTAGAATAGAGGAGAACACAAAATCGTAAGATGTATTTATTTGAACTCGATCAACATTATAATTTACGTATTTAATATATTGCAGCTTCAAGGGTACAACTAGAAATACTCAGAGGGAGAGATAGGCGGAGAAAACAAAATACAATTCGGCTGCACGGATTTGTTCCTATATTATCTTGCAACCCTTGCTAGAAGCTAGCATTTCAAATGACTTGTATTTTTGATTCGATTTAGGTGCAAAATAATAATTGATTGCATCGCAATATTTTGCACATTTCTTGGTGCCACTCATTAACCGGCCAAGATCAATTAATCAATAGATTTGGAATATTGTTTTTGATTCCAAAAACTAGTTGAATTTAAGAAGCACACAAAACATAAAGGTGATTGAATTTCTGTTCGATTGCAATACTCTCAAATTTATTCTAGTAAGAATAAGAAAAAAATCTAATGGAAATGTTCGATTGGCTCAGATGTTGACAGTTCATTTGGCTCAAAACATTATCTCCGTCCATCTCTCCCTCTGAGTATTTCTAGGTACAACCTGCTATCGGAACGCGTTTCTCTCACCGCCCCCCCCCTTTTCGGAGAATTGTTGGTTCTTATCTTAGGTTGTCAGCATTGGCCTAGCTAGACAATTTATCTGGAGGGGGCCTAGGTAATTCTGGAGGGGGCCTGACCCCCCTGGCACTCCCATTAGCTACGCCAATGGTTGTCAGTCTTCTTGATATTATGTTATCATCGCTATTGCTTTGCTTCCAATGCACGAAACAACTTCTTAATTTTTATTACAATATTATTTATTGCTTTACTATTTTCAGACATGATTGTTCATTAAAAATTGGAATAAATCAGTTGAAGGTTCACATACTACAATGACATACGACACCGGTGGCCGTCCGGTGGAACCTCCCGAGGAGCAGAATGATTGCGCTCAGATCTTGGAACAAAACGAACCGTAAGTTTTTTTTTAATAGCGCCATAATCTTACAAAAATCGAATCAAACGTACTCGGTACACTTATTAAATTCCACAATTTTTTATTGACATTTAAAATTGCTTATAATGCTCATGTGCCCGCCTACACAAGCCGCTCAAAAATACCCATGAAACGTAAACTGAGGCAAAAAAAAAATTCATAAGAACTGCACTTATAATTTTTGGTCACAAACATTTATTATGGAAATCATAAGTTTGATATTCATTCATTCATGTACACTCAGGTATTTTTTTTTCACGGGGGAATGTACCGTGTAAAAAAAACTACTAGATTTTGATTTTTCACATGCTTAAATGTTTTAAAAAAATCGGATTTTAATGCCATTTGTAATTATAGCATGCTATGGTCCATATAGACATATTTAAAAAAAATCTGTATTTACACCAATTTTTTTTATTTTTTTAAGTATGCCGGGCTTGAAACGGATAATGTGATTGGAATCAAGTCGATAGGTTGTATTGTCGAGAAATCATTAAAAACGTACCGTGTAAATCGCGAAAAACCGTGTATAAAAAACCGCGTAAAAAAACCGTGTAAAAAAAACCGTGTAAAAAAATGTATCAAGTAACCGAGCAAAGTTGGTTAACAAAATGAAAGCAAATCGATATTATAGTTAGCGGTAATGAAAACTTATGATGATTTTAATAATTGTAGAGAAATAAGTCTGATTACATACTGTTAATGTTTTGTTGAAAATTTAACTAACGATTATTATGTATTTTGTTGAACACATTTTAGGTCATTCGTGACTAGTCCGGGTGAGATTTGAACTCAATTGTTTCAACGTGAGAAGCATGGATGCTATCCATTTACGCCAGGCCCGTATTCAGTTAAATATTATAAATGCAAATTTAGTAATCAAATTGATTTCATTGATAGCAGGATTAGTTTTCCGTTTGATTCAACAATGTAAAATTTTACTCTCATTTTTACTGTTTTAACCGTTAAGTAAGTCAACCAAAATGACATCAACTGGAGTACTCAAAATAAGTTACATCATAAAAGCAAATTTGCTCGGGTAGAGGGGTACATAGGGCCAACGTGAAGGATTTCCATCTTGCTCGCTTTTGTCTTGACTTGGGCCCACGCACTTAGATTTTTCGCCGATTCCGGCAAAAAAGTGCCGAGAACCCAGCAGCCAACCTGTCGGTAAACATCACTGTAAATCATTCAAATGCCGTGACATCGGCAAAAAATGCATCCCAACTGTCAACTTTGCCAATCCCTTCGGTAAACTACGTACCGTTTTTCGGCAAACATTAGATCTGTATAATGACACAGTTCGCAGTAACTCGAACTTACCCGTACTTTACTTACTCGGGTTTTTCTGTCAAGCCTACCTCGACCAAATTCGATTATGTTCGATTTGCTTGTCTTAAACATTTGATCTGATTTTTAATTTTCTTTATTTTTGAGGTGAAATTACTATAAAAAATACCATTAGGAGTCAGATTCGTTTCTTCTTGTGCTTCTCTAAAATCCACGTGGTATTATGTCAAAATCTCTACCGAGTTAAACCTGGTAGAACTAACTCGCACTAAATAATGCGAGCTGTTTCAACAACATCGGTTGTGTTGTAATTGTAATTTTATTATCATCACGTAAGCTTGTCGGTTATACCATTGCTCAGGTCAAGAAAAACACCGTAACTAATTTATGAATCTAGGGAAAACAATAAAAAGCTATTAGTGAAAGTAACTTTCAATATGAATGAAGTAATGAAATTGGGTTGTTAGCGGAATGCTTTAATAAAACAGCAAAAAAGGTTATCTTCCATTTAATTCCACTTAATTAATTTTGGTATCCATGACAGATACGTATTTCGACTACAATGTGCAGTCTTCATCAGTGTCATTCCCACTAAAGAACTTATCAAAATCTAACCCCCTTAAGTACTCATCCCCTAGGTATAAAAGTCAAGATCACAGGTATATAAATGAAACTACAATGTGTTGAATCGGAACCTACCTAACTAATTAAAACCAAAGATTTAAGTAAGCTAAAGGAGAAAAATCTATTCAACTCTCTAATAAGGAAAATCCCAAAGGCTTGGTAGCCATCATAATGAAGTAATGAAATTGGGTTGTTAGCGGAATGCTTTAATAAAACAGCAAAAAAGGTTATCTTCCATTTAATTCCACTTAATTAATTTTGGTATCCATGACAGATACGTATTTCGACTACAATGTGCAGTCTTCATCAGTGTCATTCCCACTAAAGAACTTATCAAAATCTAACCCCCTTAAGTACTCATCCCCTAGGTATAAAAGTCAAGATCACAGGTATATAAATGAAACTACAATGTGTTGAATCGGAACCTACCTAACTAATTAAAACCAAAGATTTAAGTAAGCTAAAGGAGAAAAATCTATTCAACTCTCTAATAAGGAAAATCCCAAAGGCTTGGTAGCCATCATAATGAAGTAATGAAATTGGGTTGTTAGCGGAATGCTTTAATAAAACAGCAAAAAAGGTTATCTTCCATTTAATTCCACTTAATTAATTTTGGTATCCATGACAGATACGTATTTCGACTACAATGTGCAGTCTTCATCAGTGTCATTCCCACTAAAGAACTTATCAAAATCTAACCCCCTTAAGTACTCATCCCCTAGGTATAAAAGTCAAGATCACAGGTATATAAATGAAACTACAATGTGTTGAATCGGAACCTACCTAACTAATTAAAACCAAAGATTTAAGTAAGCTAAAGGAGAAAAATCTATTCAACTCTCTAATAAAGAAAATCCCAAAGGCTTGGTAGCCATCATAATGAAGTAATGAAATTGGGTTGTTAGCGGAATGCTTTAATAAAACAGCAAAAAAGGTTATCTTCCATTTAATTCCAATTAATTTTGGTATCCATGACAGATACGTATTTCGACTACAATGTGCAGTCTTCATCAGTGTCATTCCCACTAAAGAACTTATCAAAATCTAACCCCCTTAAGTACTCATCCCCTAGGTATAAAAGTCAAGATCACAGGTATATAAATGAAACTACAATGTGTTGAATCGGAACCTACCTAACTAATTAAAACCAAAGATTTAAGTAAGCTAAAGGAGAAAAATCTATTCAACTCTCTAATAAGGAAAATCCCAAAGGCTTGGTAGCCATCATAATGAAGTAATGAAATTGGGTTGTTAGCGGAATGCTTTAATAAAACAGCAAAAAAGGTTATCTTCCATTTAATTCCACTTAATTAATTTTGGTATCCATGACAGATACGTATTTCGACTACAATGTGCAGTCTTCATCAGTGTCATTCCCACTAAAGAACTTATCAAAATCTAACCCCCTTAAGTACTCATCCCCTAGGTATAAAAAGTCAAGATCACAGGTATATAAATGAAACTACAATGTGTTGAATCGGAACCTACCTAACTAATTAAAACCAAAGATTTAAGTAAGCTAAAGGAGAAAAATCTATTCAACTCTCTAATAAGGAAAATCCCAAAGGCTTGGTAGCCATCATAATGAAGTAATGAAATTGGGTTGTTAGCGGAATGCTTTAATAATTTTTTAATAACTTTCACTAATTTAGGAATTTAGTCTAAATATAGATTTGGGATCAAGTCCTACGATTTGCATCATCGTGTTGAGAGTGCTGTTTTGAAAGCGCTGATCGTTGGTTGTTGTCTTGTTGCTAGAGGGAGCTGATTCTAATTAATTGCTCCTGCGATCAACACACTCTTCCTCATCGATGTGGTGTGATGGGGAATCGCAAAGCAACGGGCTCGTTCACGCTGTCATCTTCTCTAGTGCTGCTGTAGATAAAGAGGAAAAGTTCCAGCGTTATTCTTGGTGAATAAAGCAGCTAATTCTGTGTCGGTAGTTCGTGTCCCAACATAGAGTTCCTTACAGCAGTTACAGTCCTTACAGTCCGCGTTTGATAGCGTATACAAAGCGAACTGCTGTCTTGAAAGAACGGTTTAGGCTGTGAACCATTTGCCGAGTTAAATTTAACTCGTGGTTAAAAATGACATTTCGAAAGTTATTTCTTATGTTAGAAAATCCCCGTGCTGTCGATCGACCGGTTTTCGAGCCACGGTCGTCAAAATTTAACTTCTTGTCTGTCAGAAATAACCATGCTCGGATAGCAGGGTTCATCAATAACTTTCCATCTGTCAAATTTTAACCAAAAGTTAAGCCTTAGTTTATCACAGAGTGCTGCTAACAGTCCGGGATAGTAGGTGACGTCAGAATAAGTAAAAAAGGTACGAACCCGAATGAAATGGGTTTGGACTAGAGCAGTTCCACACAGATTCACAAATCGTTTCGGATCGACCTTCTACGATTATGATGAAACTTGTTATTGCCCAACATGCCATTTTACATATATGGTTCCCTGACTAACACTTGAAAAGGGCTTATGCATAAATGATACGCATCAATAGAAAAATATATATCTCGTGCACTATTTGTTTGATAGAGATGGTGTCTTGGGCGATGTTGCGGACAAGTATTGTGCCTTCCAAGAAAAAATAAACACCGTAAAAAAAAATTTACAAAAAAAAAATCAAAATTATCAAAAAAAAAATCAAAATTACTCAAATTACCAGTTTTTTTTTTATTTTTTTTATACATTTATTTTCTAGTTTAGATAAAGTATTACCTACTGATACTGTGCATTTGCTGGGCATCTTAACTCATGCATATGATTAAAAAACTGTGAACAGCAAAGTTTAAGGAAATTAACTGGGCTTTTTGTTAAAAATATTTTCAAGATTGGACACTAACGAATAACATCTCAACTTTGGGCAATTTGAGCATTATGAGCTTTTTTGTTGTAAATTTAACACTATTTCAAAGATATTCGATAACTATCGGTAGTATTTTGGAAAAAAAAATATTTTTTCAATAATTCATAACTTTTTTATGTATGATTCGCCCAGCAAATACACAGTGTCAGTAGGTATTTCTTAACCTAAGCTGAAAATTAAATATAAAAAAAAAA